TGCCTGGTGGGCCCATTGATGGGAGTGTCATTCCTAGCTTTCTAGGGCACGTCGCCTCCCGCATGTGGAGTGGAGATTTGAGGGGGCCACTGAAATGCCACAACAGACTGAGAGCGATCGAGAATCTGAAGGGTTGGCGTGAAGAGATGTCTTCCGATGCGATTGCTCTTCTCGACCAGACCGGGCTGTCACATTTGGCCGACTCCATGCACATCCACTTGGACACCCCACTCCTTTCTGCGTTTGTGGAGCGATGGCAGCCGGATACTAACTCGTTTCACCTGCCTTTTGGTGAAATGAGCATCATGCTGCACGACGTCCGGGCCATTTTGGGCGTTCCTGTGGAGGGAGCCGTGGTCGTTGAGGACCCAGATTCGGACGCCTGCCATGGGCTCTGCATGTCGATACTTTCGGTCACCAAGGACGAACTCATGAGTTCGTTCTGGCAGCTTGGTTCGGTGTCCGAAGCCGCCATTTCGAGGGCATTCAGGGGGAAAGGCCGGCCGGCTAGGGATGAAGCGGGTGCCTGGATGTGGGTGATGCTGGCTACCACATTGTTCATCGACAAGAGTGGTAGTAGAGTGACCCCCAAGCTCCTGCACGAGGTGCTCGATGACTTGGATTTGATTGGGGGTTACTCATGGGATCGACTACGCTGGCATACATGTACAGACAGCTAGGTATTGCCAGTCGAGGGGACTCTACCCAGATGTCGGGCTGCTTGACTCTTCTGTAGTCTTGGATATATAAGTATTTCCCCGATTTTCGACTCCGGGAGTGTCTACCCATCGGTCCTGACTGTCTCGCACGATCACGCTCGTGGAGCGTAGGGAATGCGCCACGGTCAGACGATCTGCTCACAGCCATCTGTCGGCGCCTCGACAGACTCACTGCCTCTGATGTACGTGAAGTTATTTTATTTAAATTTAGTTACCCGTTATTTAAAATAATATAATTATTTTTATAAATGCTTTTATGCAATTGTGAACAGGTGCAATGGTTGCCATACGGCAACTCCAGCCCAGATGCGATAGAGCCGAGGACTCTTTATAGCGGATTGATTCGATACCGCGATGTCGTTGAGCCGTACTTGCCTGCGCAGTGTCTGCGTCAGTTGGGGTATGTCCAGACTGTCCCTCCCCTTACATACCCGCCAATCAGTGCAGTACGTGCCTGGGAGTCTAGGAACTACAGGGTTGAGCATTCTGAGGCTGCTGCAGTAGGTGCCTGGACCCAGTTCCCGATTTCTGGGACGGTCAACACCGGTATGTTGACCCCCACCACACAGGATCGCGGGGAGGCGACTGAGGATTACCTGCAGTGGTACAGTCGAGTTTCCCATCCGACTCTCATGGGCGAGGAGCTGCCGGACGAGAACGAGGTCCCTACGCGTGTTAATACCGCCTATGTAAGTTGGTTACTAAATTTTAATTAATGTTATTTCATTACAATAATTTGTTTTTAATAAATTTTAGTCTTATCTTTTTATTCTTCCATTTGTTTAGTGGGTGAACCGTCTTTTGGGCATTACATCGATTTGGCAGCAGGGATGCGAATGTCCGGTGGCGGCGGAAGTCCAAGAAGAACTGACTAAGTTTAAGTTGGATTACGACAATGCCCAATAATGATGTAATGAATGTTTTTTTTTAATTATTATTGTAAAACATTATGTTGAATGACTTTTCTTGCATTTATTATTAGTAAAACATTAGGTTGAATGGTTTTTTTTTTTTTTTTGCTAAAATAGAGTTGAACTGATTCATTTTGTTTTTTAGTTGGTAAACTTAAGTTGAATGAGAAGCGTCATACCACAAGTGAATAATATCGTTCTTTTATTCAACAGGGTTTTTTTTAACAGTAAACCACAATCGCAACCTAGCCTCGTACTGATCCTCCCAACCCACAACCGATCGATCTCGGTAATGGAACCACATGGAATGAATAGACGGCAATGGACAATCATGAGTCAAATCTAAACGAATGTAGTGTTCTACGGTACCAAGATGGCACATGACAATCTCACGACATGGTCCTCTAGCCGATGATCGTGCAATGAGAGGCAACACTGTGATGCTGAATAAGTCGTGCTGCCCACCTTGCGGACCAGAGCCCAACAGAACGACAACCGCAATAAATAGGGTCGCAACGGCGTAGAGATCCTGCGGAACTTCGAACCAGTGAGACCGTCCACAAGGGCCGTTGGCCCACCTTACGCGATGGAGTCCGGCGTCGATATCTCTAAAATAGGTGTACTCGTACAATTCATGGTGGCTGTCGACCTCCTTCGCAATGCTTTCTCTTGCATCTGCCCAGTACTTCTGGTGACCATACACGTGACTCAGGTAACTCACTATGTAGTCCAACATATGTCAGGGGATATTTTGCCACATTGAAAATCTAAATATATTTGTCGGTCTAAACTCTGCAATAAATATCATAATAATTTCAAGTCACAATTTATATAATCATATAAATACTTTAATTAACGCTCAACCATATTTAAAAAAACATTCAATGACTTGTTTCCCCTTGTGACTGTTGAGAAGACGAACTTGTCTGTCCACGCGAAGAAGTGGTCGTACGGCTCGATTTCCGACCTCGCGATCTATCGTTGTACTCAAAAGCAGATGGTTTACGCTTAGTTGAATTAGTTTTCTTGGGACGACCTCGCGGGTTATCCTTAACCTCAGGTTCCGCATAATCCTGTTGGTCTGGGTAAAGATGACTGTACATGAACTGATTCACGTACCGCATCGTCGCGGGATCGCGGGTTTCAATCTCACTCACAAGCGTCTGAAAGAACTCCGCATCTAACCATGCAGCCTGGCTCGCCTGGCTCTGATGACCAGTCTAAAAAAGTCAATGAATTAAACCAAATAATGTATTTTAATAGAAAATTATAAATAAAACATTAACCTCTGAATAGGAGTGAGTAAACCCAACTCTCTGTCACTGACAACAACATAAGGATATACGTCTTGGCCTATCAGTAGTCTCAACTTCTCTAGAACCCAGTCGTAACTGGCCTCTTTCTCGTCCCTGATGAGCGCATACGCAATTAGGAAGTTCTGGTTGCACGGTGTCATCCCAATCATCTCGACCAACGGCATCTTGTACTTGTGCAAATGAGACCAAGAAGAAAAAAAATATAATCAAATAAAAGTTTACTTAATCAAACACACTATTTAAGATTCATACTAATAAAGTATTTATAAAGTAACATACCTGTTGGTTTTATACGTGGAATCTATGCCGACATACCAGTGATATGTCCGGAATAGATTGATCGATGCAGGATGGGCCATGAATATATGCGTCAACGCTTTCGTGTTCGGATCGGATTCTGCATAAACTGTATACTCGCTGCTCACGGCCAAATGCATAAGCTGGGAAGGAACGTCTCTACCGTCGAAACTCTCTTTCCGCAGCTTATCTCTAAAGTTATATACCTGTCACCGATTAGGTTAATTATAATGATTATTATAATTTAAGAAAAAATATTATGTTAATAAATAAAAAGTATATTAATGCGATTAATTTGATAAAAAATTTTAACTATCACAATAATAATACATTAGTAAATATAATAAAATTTATTAATTATTACAATAACTTTTACATATAAAAAATTACTAATTATCATAATTAACTTCAAAACGTTAATGAAAACATATATTACAAGATATAAATATATATACCTGTTGCACATGAACGTTGTCTCCCGGATTCTTTTCCTTCAGCGTGGCCATAATTTTTGCCGGGGCCACCTGAGCGTCCGTCATATCACGAACAATTTTCTTAGATGAAGCGTTGAGGCCGCTCAACTGGCTATGACCCTCAAGATACACAGCAAATGTATGGTTATGGTAGCCCTTCTCTTCATTGCTACATCTACAGATCCTCCAGTATGGAGCGCCGGACACCTTTTTACTTTGATCTCAAAATTGCAGCCGCACTTATTCGTTTTTGTCTTTCTAGAATTTCCACCTGTGCCTCTGTACCGTTCGCCTCTATGGCACTTCAAAAGCCTGACCGTTTTCTTTTTGTGGCTCGAAATTATTAATAGGAAACCATTCAGCATTGTCTGGTGTTTTGCAACTTCAATAGCGCCCTGAGCACTATTATATAATGTACAGGTATCGAAACGCAGACTGTAATCAACACCATCTCCTCCAAAATCTTCCCATGACTCTTGCTATATAGTACAATATTTATATTTTTGGAACATGTTAAATTAAGATAATTAATTCTAGCATGTAACATAATAATTTGTAACTCATAACATGATATTATCTAACGTCCAATTTATAGCATAATGAAGTCTAACATGTAACACAATAATTTGTAACTCCTAACACGATCACGATAATATCTAACGTCCAATTTATAATATAATCAACTATAACATGTAACATAATAATTTGTTACTCCTAACACGATACTATCTAACGTCAATTTATAACATAACCAAGACAAACATGTAATATAATAATTTCTAACTCGTAACACGATATTATCTAACGTCCAATTTATATTATAATCAACATGTAACATAGTAATTTGTAACTCCTAACACGATAAACGTCCAATTTATAGCATAATCAAGTCTAAAATGTAACATAATAATTTATAATATAATAATATAGTCCAATTTATAACATAATTATTTCGAATATATAACATAATAATTTTAAAAAAAAAAATTGTCCGGTCGGTCGAACCGAACGGACCGGTTCCGACCGGCCGTCGTTTTCGGACGGCTTTTAAGCCGTCCGGTTCTGGCGGTCGGACACAAAAAATTTCGTACCTCCGAATTTGACGACATTTCACCGTACACTTTCCTCTGAGATGTTTAGAAAAAATGAAAAGGGCAAAATCATCCAAGGGGGGCGGTGAGTAGTAAAATGGGGGGCGGTAAATAGTAACGCCCTTGTAACATATATTATATTTGATGGATGAATTATAGAAAACTATAAAAATATAAGTAAACGTCCGTTTCATTACCGAAAAGGTTCAACTGTCCCTATAAAGATTTCCTTTCCTGCGAGAATCTTTGNATAAATATCATAGATTAGAGTGAAAATATACAGAGTCACAAGCATATACAACAACCAAAAAAAGGGCTAAGACTAGGGGAAATCTGGGAACAACCTAGCATTACCCTCCATACCAGCAAAACAGCTATACAGACTCAAAGGAAACAAAACAGAAACACAGAAACCAAAAGAGAAACAAAAACTACAAGACCACACCTACTCACAATATAAACCCTGGTACTAATTACAAAGCCACTACTTCTCAAAATCTAAATCTTTCGAGTAATGCACAACCACAGGATCTAAATTTGTGCAAGATAAATATAAGAACCTCCATGGAATGGTAAAAGATCCAGCACTGACAACAGAGAGGTTGCCCTACCTTTTCCTAACCATCCACCGGGGACTCCCATATTTACATACAATCATTGTCTTCCATGGTCCTGAGATTTGCATACTCTCTCCATTCCTCTAAAGCTCCCTTCACCACATCCTTTTCTGTTCTCCATTCTTGCTTGAATATCCAATTGTTTCTGGTACGCCATAGCCACCAGAGTAAATAAGTGGTTAGCTCAATTCTGTCCTTCATGCATCTACCTCTATCCATTAAGCACATCGCAGACCACCAACTTCTAAATTCATCTTCTTTTTCCTTCAGTCCATCCCAACTTAACCCTGACAATTTCCAGACTTTCTCAGCTCTGGAGCAAGTGAATAATATATGCTCTAGTGATTCTGTTTGCTCCCCACATTGCCTACAGATCATATCCATCATCATCCCTCTCTTTGCCAGTTGATCCTGAGTGGCCAAATAGTGGTGCCAACATTTCCAAATAAACATTTTGATTTTATTCTTAACCTGCAAACCCCAAGTTTTCCTCCAAATTTTCTTTTGATTGACATTTTGATTGCTGCTTTCTGGGGAGTCTTTCCTCTGTCCTTCAGCTTCCAACAACATTTGGTAAACATGCTTTACAGAGAACTGGCCCTTGGGACATTGATGCCAAATTAACTGGTCGCTTTTTCCTGTAACTGGTGCTTTCAGCTTGAGGATTTCCTCTGCTTGCATTGGTTGGAAAGTCTGTCTAATAAGTTTCACATCCCATTGGTTCCCTGCCACTCCACATAAATCCCTAACCTTCTTAAGAGCTCTCCTGTCATCCTCAAAGCAGCAGTATGGTTTGTAATTTGGAGCTCTTGGAATCCATGGGGATTCCCAGATATCAATGTTGTTCCCATCACCTATCTGAAATCTCAGCCCCAGTCTCAGGACATATCTCACTTTCATCCATGATATCCAAAGCCAAGAATCAGAATACCTTGGTTGAACATCCATAATATCCAGCTTGTGAAAATATTTTCCTTTCATTACCCTGCTCAATAGCAAATCTGGTTTTGAAATCACTCTCCATATCTGTTTTGTAATCAGAGCATCATTAAATAGAGAGAAATTTCTAAACCCTAATCCACCTCTGTCCTTTGATAAAGCAAGTTTTTCCCAAGCTGCCCAATGAATTCTTTTCTTCCCAGCATCAGATTTTCCCCACCAAAATTCAGCAATAGCCCTGCAAATATTCTGGCATATTCACACAGGGAGTTTAAAGCAAGACATAATATACACAGGTAGAGCTCCAAGAACTGTTTTGATTAAAATCTCCCTTCCTGCTTCACTCAAAATTTATTTTTCCAATTATTAACTCTAGCCATGACACATTCAGAAACAAATTTGAATGTATCAACTTTAGATCTACCTATACCTAATGGCATACCTAAATATTTAGAGGACCTGACCACTTGTATCCCTCCAAATAATTGGCAGATACAATCCTTTGTCTCAACATTAGCATTTTTGGAGAACAAAATGGAAGATTTTGAAATATTCACTACTTGCCTAGAAGCCTTACCATAGCTATACAAAATATTATGCAGAATCAAAGCATTAGCCCTATTGGCTTGGCAGAAAACAATGGAATCATCTGCAAAAAATAAGTGAGATAAAATAGGGGCAGAAGGGCCAATTTTCATACCTGAAAAATTGGAAACTGAGCAGGCTTGGTTAAGAAGATTAGAAAAAGCTTCAGACAAAATGATGAAAAGGTAAGGAGATAGAGGATCTCCTTGCCTTAACCCTCTAGAAGGTCTAACAAAACCCAGAGGCTGCCCATTGATATTAAAGGAAAATGAAGAAGAATTTATACAACACAAAATCCAATAAATGAATTTTTTACAGAAACCTAATCTACCTAGAATAAGAACTAAGAAATCCCATTCCACCCGGTCATAGGCTTTTGACATGTCAAGTTTAAGGGCCATATAAGAGGTTTTACCTTTTTTCTTACTATTCATAAAGTGCACACATTCATTGGCAAGGATAACATTATCAACAATCTGTCTACCGGGAACAAAGGCAGTTTGGTTGGGAGAAATGCATAAGTGCAACACAGGTTTAAGTCTATTAGCCAAAATTTTGGATATAATTTTATACATAACTGTACAAAGGCTTATGGGTCTGAAGTCAGAAACTTTGGATGGGTTCAGGATCTTGGGGATCAAAGAAATAACAGTGTGGTTTAACTTTTTGGGAATGCACCCTTTGTGGAAAAAATTCTGAATAGCTACACAAATATCAGGCTTAATAATATTCCAACAAGATTGAAAAAAGAGGGGGGTCATACCATCAATGCCCGGTGCTTTTTGGGGGTTCATTTCAATCAGTGCATCTTTGACCTCATTCTTCTCTACAGCTTTTGTCAATAATTAATTCATTTGATCAGTGATTACTCTCTGCATACCTTCAAGATTGCAGTCATTCACATTATGCTCAGCTGAGGTAAACAAATTCTGAAAAAATGTCACAATTTCCTCCAATATTTCTTTCTCATCCTCACACCTTGTCCCATTGTCTCTGATCAAGTTCTCAATGTTGTTTCTTCTCCTCTTCTGAGTCACACAAGCATGGAAATATTTTGTATTTTGGTCTCCTTTTTTCAGCCACTGAATTCTCGATTTTTGCCTCCAATATTTCTCTTCTTCCCTGTAAGCCTTCTGCAATTTCTGCTTAACCTCGGTCCATTTATTCCAATCTTTCTGGCTTCCCAGATTTAGCATTGCTGCTAGCTGTGAGTTGTAACTTTCTATGAGAAGAGCTGAATTTGAAATGTGAGTTGACTTCCATCCCAAAAGTGCCATTCTAGTATTTCTGATTCTGTTCTGTATATTGTATAAAGGAGGTCCAGACACTTCCTTCTTCCATGCTGCTGTAAAAATATCATGGAATCCTGCTCTTTTTGTCCACCTTGCATCAAAAAAGAATCTTTTTTTCCATTTTCCAGCTCTAGGCTTTGTGTCCATCAACAAAAGACAATGATCAGAAGACATTCTAGTAATATGAGAAACAGTAGACTGGGGAAAATTTAACAGCCACTCCGGGGATAGCAAAAATCTATCTAATCTTTCTTCCACAAAGCCCTCCCCTACCCTATTATTAGTCCAGGTATAAGGATGTCCTTTGAAACAAGGATCATGAAGGTTGAGCCCACTAATAAAATTTCTAAAACCCTGGAAACTACCCTCAGCTCTCACCTTACCTCCCCTTTTTTCCCCATTAGAAATAATATCATTAAAATCTCCCCCCAAAAACCAACAATCTCCCCACATCAAGCTGTGCCTTGTAAGAATTTGCCACTGAATCATCCTTTCAGATACACAAGTACTAACATACACAAAAATAGCCCAAAGCTTCCTACTATCATTATTTAACTGAAAACACACTTCAATACAAAAATTAGAACTAATAATATCTATTATTTTGATTTTTTCACCCCAAAACAGAAGCAACCCACCCTTAAGCCCTACTGAATTAACTACAAACCACCTATCTTCAATTTTCAGGTTTTTGCAAACAGTTTGGATAAAACTTTTTCCTTTTTGGTTTCTGATATAAAAACAAAATCTGGGAGGTGGAATCTTATGGATTCCTTAAGTTGAGAAATTGTGGAGGGCCCTCCCAGCCCTCTACAATTCCACACACACACCTTCATTTAAACCCTTGGGACCATTTATGGCTGGTCACCTCCACCATTTCCTGCGAGAATCATTCGTATCAAGAAGGAAAATTTTTGCTTACAAATGTCAATTATGTATCTGATTTGCTTTTTCTCTTAGAAAAAGTTGTATTATCTAGCAAGAAAGTGCTTAAAATTTCAAAAAAGCAAGTATTATTTCGAAGATAAGATTCAATTTGTCCATGAGTACGATCCATTAGCAATGATGATCCGATTACTCATGCGATAAATAATAGGTGATCTTTTAGAGGTACATTTAATAATTTTAAGATGTTGATTTTCTAGATTTTTTATATGACATTTTTTTATTATTATTCTTTTTAACAATTTGGCTTTACTTTTTTTTTTTTTAATATGGAATATGGATTGGTTCAAATGCATCCACTTATTTAAAGTGAGGACGTGAGACTCATTTTTAACCACAAGATTTGGTACATATCATGTGTGGCCAAGATTTACTCTTTACTTTAATTATTTAATTATTTAAATATTATTTTGACCCGTTGACTCCGGCATTGACCGTTGACTTTCGGCTTTGACTGTTGACTTTTGGCAAATTCTGTTAATTATTTAAATATTATTTTTTTCCGAAACGATAGAAGTTTTATATATAACTCAATAAAATTGTTCAGTACACATGGACTAACAACCAACTACATCGAAACAAAAACTGAGAAGCCACCAAACATGGTGACCTAGAATCGCACCAGACTACCTAGCCAAATCAACCCTTCCGCAGCAAGAAATACACAACTAGAAAGATGAAAAGAAAAGAACATGTGCTCCACCACTGCAAATTGCCTAGCAAGAGCAACCTGCTCCCAATTACACAACACAAGAGCAAACTGATTAGACATACTAAAACTAAGAATAAAATTAACACAAAGCTACACAAAGGACTTTTGTTTTGCAGTTTGAAAATTCATCCAGTCTGAGATTGCAGCTTTCATGACAATGTGAACAGGGGCCGGAGATTGTTGGAAAATCCATGCATTCCTCGTCTTCCAGAGCCACCACAATAAGTATGTGGATTGTGGTGAGTTGAATTCTGTGTTCTGCTACTTCTGAGTGGCCCAGAAGACATAGCTGCCTCCACCATTGCTTGAATGAGTGTTGAAGGTGATGCAATCCATCCCAAGGAACAGGTACTATCTCCCATAACCTGCAAGCCCTAGGGCAGAAGAACAAAACATGTTCAGTAGTTTCAACATCCTCTCCACAATATCTGCAGGTGGTGTCCAAGTCCATTCATTTTTTCTTCAAATTTGCCAAGACAGGGAGTGTCCCTGTCAAACATCTCCAAATGAAGAGTCTGAATTTTCCCATCACTTGCAAGGACCATGTTCTTTTGTATATAGGAGCCCATGTCCTGGTGGTTGGTTGGTAACTACATTCTGGAATGTCCATTTGCACCACCTTCTGCTGAACCAAGTATTTATATACACTGGAGACCGAGAATTGTCCCTTCTTGTCCAAACCGCACTAATATCTATCTGATTTTGTTGGGTTCAGGCTATTGATATTCAGAATTGTTGTACTATCCTCTGAATTAAATACCTGCTTTATTAACCATTCATTCCAATGCAAACCATCCTCAGTGAGAAGATCTTTAACAAATAACAGATGGCCTCTAGCCAGTGGCATCAATTCAGGGGTAGATTTTGGCAAGTTTGGGATCCAATTATAATCCTCAATTCTAGTTTGAACCCCATTTCTGATTTCAATTCTCAGCCATTTGGTAAAGACAGGAAGAATGTCCATCCAGGAGTTCCAAAGCCATGAACTGTTTTGGGTTTTAGAAGCATGAAATATAGAAGTATTAGGATAGTACCTGTCCTTCAAGACTCTGCTAACAAGTAGTTCAGGTTGGCTGATGATCCTCTATAGATGTTTACAGATGAGAGCTGCATTGAATAGCTTTATGTCCAAAAACCCAAGTCCTTTTGAAAGCGTTGGTATTGAAAATTTGGCCCAACTTCTCCAATGGATGCCTGCAGAGCCATCCTCCTTCTTGTTCCACCAAAATTGTGCACAAAGTTTGGATATTTCATTACACAAAGTTACTGGGAGCTTGAAACATGACATAGGAAAAATAAGAAGGGCCTGAATCACTGGTTTAAGTAGAACTTCCTTTCCAGTTGCTGAGAGAAGTTTGGATTTCTAGCCTTGCAGTTTACTTTTGATGGAATTAAGCAATTTAATGTACCTTATTTGATGATTTTTT